CGGGCGGGCCGGGCGGGCCGAGCGGCTCCGCGGCGGGCGCGACCTAGACGCCGCGCCGCGCGCCACGTCGGGACCTCGCGCCGCACGACCAGCGCTCCAGCCCACACGCGACCTAGTGATAGTTACTTTCGTGTTGGCCATCGGGAAAATTACATGCATAATAGGTGTTTTCGGCGAGTAATCGTGTGATACTGTAGTGTAATTGTCGATAAAGCTTGAGCTGTCGTAGTCGGTAAGAAGGGTAAATCCGTTGTAGATTCTAAACCGTCGCGATGTGATTACTTTGTACTTTTGTAAGCTCAAATTGTCCCCTTATGTACATACCTTATATGCTGAGTTTGAATGTTTATTTAGTAAACGACAGATAATAACCGTCTGGATAAATTGTTTTGTTTTATTTTCATTTTAAAATCTCGTCAGATTCTGTCTCTTTTAAATGGTTTCGCTTATAAACTGTAGCCTTAATGTACTCGGTGTGAGACGTTTTTATCATAGAGAGAGGTTAGTCACCTGTTTGTTTCACTTGAATCACCTATCGAGGGGTAGCCACATGATACTTACCTTGCTTGGGCCGTGTAATCAGTAGGGAAGACATATTCAGTAGTGTATTAGAGTATTTATTGTTGAAAAGTATCACTAACTCAACAAACTTTTACGAAGCGTATGCCTAGTGTTATTTCAACGATGAAACTTAGCAAACGGAATATTATGTTGCAACAATAGTACGCATTGTAAATTTTTATAACTAGCGTAAACTGATCTCTCAAGATAATTTATAATAATGATATGATATCTCAGAATATTTGTATAAACAATTCAGAGAGTATAAATTTTAGATGTACTACACATATATATTTGTTTTGGCAACTTCTATGTTAAACATTTTTTGCTGTGTATTTGAATTATCCAATGCTGGATAAATGTAATGTACCTATTTAATAATAGCACTGTCGGTGTCCTAATTATAACGACATAGTTTTTGGATAATATTGTATTCTATATTCAATAAATGATATTTCTATTATATGAAATTTGTCATTGAGAACACTATGGTTATTAGTAGTCATTTATGAAACGATGTTTAAATAATGGTAAATTTCATTGTCATAGTTTTAAGTATTCGAGTAATTTCATTTTGCACTTCGATTTTGAATACAGTTACAAATTAGGAAAGGTAAACCTATAAGTATAGACTAACAAAATCTTTTCTTCATGGTGTAGAAGTAGCCTAAACGCAAAACTTATTGGTGTAATGTCGATTACCTCTTGCACCATTATGTAGAAAAACCTGGTGTTTTAAAATTCAGGCAAATGAGCACGATTTTAAAATACCTACCTTTAATATATTAATATTATATTTTAGTCTTATTTGGACCAACTCATGGTAACATGTCAACTGTGCATGAAAATATTGATTGACCCAAAAACTTAATGAAAGAACAGCAATCAATATTTCAGTTAATTGTTACATTCTCATCATATAAAGTAGGTTCTTGAATAAGTTTTTACTGTATTGTTTACACTGTAATTCCTGTTTCTGTGAATGGTTAGTTAATATGGCTTGCTTTCAAAATTGTTGTATCTTTAAGTTTTGATTAAGCATATCTTAATTTCTTATAATCTTGGTGTGCAAGACTGTTTTTATATTTAGTTTAATTATTTTTTTATATTTCGATCTTAATTTGTCTGTCTGTCCCCTTTGGACCCTTGCAATTTCTTTTTATTCCATTGTCCATATCTGGGAATTAGTAAGAATACACAAATGATTGACTGGACTACCCTACCACCGTCAATCATTTGTAATTAAACATATATTTTTTTATATAGATGCAGAATACAGAATTTCTTAACCAAAGCATTGCCATTCCAATTTCCGTGCACAGAATACTGCTAACAAGATGGGCTTGTAAGAACACAGCGAAAACTTATTCGAGACCTAATAAATATTTTTAACTGCTTAGCTGATTCACTATAATATTAATTATTCATGTTTTTCTAGGCTTAAACCAGGGCCCCGACCATTAAAATAATTAATTATAACGTATTGTTGATTGTGTACCATGTTACAACAGGACAGTGTTGAACTCGGTCTTTCTACTTGATGGCGTCGCGGTGTTTAGGTGGTCCTTTTTCTTGTTACGCCGTGTCTATGCCTTTGTGAAGAATCGAGTTCATTGTTAGGTATGCCTGTAATTACTTATAAATTATTGTATTTTAAGATGAGCGCGCTGAAGATGCGCTTCGCTTTGAAATCACATAATAGTGGATCTTAGTTTTTGTCGTTAAGGCTATTAATTTCTGGAACACCCATATAATTCGTGTAAATATATTATAATTATCTTTATGGTACGACTCTTGAGTGACGCGTGCGTGCGTGTCGGTGGCAGCGGAGGGAGTGACGAGTGTCGCCACCTTACCGCAGCGGACTCAGTAAGAGACAGTAGTTTAGATATTACATGTATTTTATTAAGTCTATCTATCTAATATGAATTTTGTAATCGACGTTGCTTCTTAAGACCTCTGTGTAAAAAGTTATAAGACATACTAGTGACCTGAATATTTGAAGCGATGTTATTAAAATCTTTATCCCACTGAATTCTCACTTTCACGATTTGCGTGCACATTTACAACATGAGAATTTTCCGTAAAATACATAGTTCGAAATGGAGTTATGACTTATTATATAAATTATTTAAAGTAAAATTTTCTTATTACTGTAATATTAAATTTAATAGTGAGTGAAATTTGTATTTTGTTTTCATATTTGTTTTACTGAATTTAAATACTTCATAACCCTCATATCGTTGTTAGTTATGAATGAAAATAACATAATTATTAAAAGTAAATAATTAAATGAATAGTAAATATGCCTTTTTATTTGTAATTACATAAATACACCCTGATTGAAGAGTTTATTCATTGCTGCGAATGCAGGTATTAACTTCCAAGTTTCAATTGACTGATCTGGAAATCATTGGGAGATACCTATTTTCAATAGTGCAAACATTTTGTAGCTGACATGAGAATGTGAATATAAGGTTCGATTCCTGCTGAAACAAATGACAAGTTGTGTGATCAGTGGTCATCTGCAAACAAAGATTATAATAAGTATAGGCGAATAGCGCAGGTTGTACAGTACGATGAAAAATAGTAAGTACTGGATTAATATGATACTTTGTTAGTGAATTGGTGTATTTCAATTTCTATTCTGTGTTCTTTTGCTCTCAGCGTTTCAAGCATTTGATCTCGATTAGACTTTTTATGAGCATTGCGCGCCACTAAAAATAAAGAGCATAGAGAACAAACGTGGTTCGATATGACGAGGGAAGGTCAACAACCGTATATTGTGTTCATTTTGTTATAATTTCTGTTTTTATATCTATTTTAGGCATTCAGTATTCATATGTAAAGATAACGAAATAATTCAAAATTTTTAACTCGCCTAATTTGTGAACCAAGGTAATCACTATTTTAGGGATAAGCCGCAAGTTGCAATTTTGGTTATATATATATCATGCAAATATGAACCTCATCAACAAAAATATATCTGTCTCATTCTTACACGTTGTAAATTCCATATGTAAAAAGAGATAAGCATAAATCATTAACTTCAATTTCTGGTAACATTTTCATCATGACGTCACCAAGCTCCGACTTGAGGCCCATTCCGCCATTTAAGAGAGACACATTCCGCTCATGTTTTTGGTAGATCATCTGTCAACAATACGATTTTTGGAAATATTTTCGGTGTTACAGTGAACTGATTCGATATTAATAGAGATTTTTGCCAATAAGTGAAATGAATCTGAACTGAACTATCATGAGCAAGGGTGCAACCCTTGCTCATGATGTAATTCAAATTCACGTAAAAATGAGAAGGATTGTCATGTTTTAAGTGAGTTCTAATTCTCTTTGTTATTCTATTTATGTATACTTCTTGTGTAAATTGTGATGATATAAGTCTTTATTATGACTTCTAATTTGTGTTTTTTGCTATTATGTATACTTTTATAAGACTGTTATCACATAAATTGAACTGATAAACATTTTAATTGTTTACATTTCATTCATAGTGCTGATCTTCGTTTTATAAAGTTATCGATAATAGCACTGATAGTTGAGTGACGTCCTAAAATACACAACTACAATATTTTTATTTGTTTTCGTATACTTTATTTAATTTGGTCATAATGATGATAAATTTTATTTTAGATTTCCTAAACATGAAATTCTAAAAGAATTGTGGATGGGAAAATAGGCAAGGAGAATATAAAACATGCATCAGTATTAACAATATGCTCCAACCATTTTGAAGAAGATTGTGTGAACAGAACATTGAATATTAATCGACTTCAAGATAACGTAATTCCTACTCTTTTTGAAATTGGCCAAATTTTCAATGACACTATCAGTGAACATGAGAGTTCTCATAAACTGTCCTTACATATTTAGATATAAATATTACGGCAAAAAGCATGACTAAATGTGTCAAAAAAAATCTTTTTACAAAATTAATATTGTTTCGCCATAAATAAATTATTAAAATCAGCAAAACGTTTGACATTTATTCATTATAATGCACTCTGACCTACCCCTGTCCCCATTCCAGCGTACTGTTTCACATTACCTACAGGAAAACGCACGGTGTTCGATGGTATAACTGAGTTTGATTTTCAGTTGTCTGACTTTATATAGGTATATGAAATATGTTCAGTCTACATGATTTTGGAGCAACGTTCTATAGCCAACATTCTCTGGAAGGGTCAGGTTTTTTTAATACAGTACTCGCTTAAGAATCTTATATGTATAAAGTTATCGTTGAACGAAGGTTTCAATGGTATTGGTATTTATAATTTTATTGAGAATATGATTATGTGAATGCTTTACCATCAGTTGTACTGCAACTGTTACTGTTGTGTTGCAATTCTTTTATTTCTTTGTTTCGAATTGAACTAAATGATGTTA